CCAAAAAAAAAAAAAAAAAAAAAATTCTGCTCAAGTTCCACCTTCCAGGACACTTCCTTCAACCTTATCAGAGTTTACACTTTTCTCCAAACTCCTGCAGGGTTGATTGCTAGACACTTAGTATTTGTCACTGCCTTAAATTTGAGTCAGAATATGCTTTTTAAAATAAGAAGAGAAAGATGAAAATATTATAGCCAGAGAAATGGACGTCCTTGCAGGGAGGCATAATGATGCTTAAGCCTCAGTGGCATGACACTGCTATTCTGAGTATTGGAAAGAGAAACTACTTCTGCCTGACAGCAAGTTGGGAAAACCTTCCCAGAAAAATGTGGCCTGATCTTTGAAAGGAGTAGAATTTCACCCAGTTATAAAATGTCTGGAGGGGAAAGAGAAGGTGAAAAGATGGGTATTTCATTCAGACACAGAAGCCATGGCACATGAAAATGGAAAAGTTTCAGGTGGAGAAGCTGGAAAGAGGAGTTGGGGGTCAGGAGGGAGAAGTGCTAGTGTGTATTTACAAAACAAAACAAAAACCTCTTTACCTAGATTTTGAACTTCTCACAAGCCAAGATCAACCATACTCTTCACATTTGCTCTTTAAGTGTATCCCCCAAAAAAACAGACGGATATCCATCTGTTGATAAACATGAATCCCTGCGTCATTTGGATGATGTCAATGAACTCAGGTGAGGTTGCCCAATGTATTTTGGGTAGCACTGTACTTCTGGTTTGAAGCTGACAATGCCTTTAGTAAACGTGATGAATTTTTCTTCTAAAATCCTATTCTCTGACACTAATGAGGTCCGATTCTGGCTCTTTATTGGCTGGCTTTATGACTTCAGTTTTCTCCTCTGCAAAACCAAGTTAGGTACCTCCTCCTCTTGGGGGGGGGGTAGTTGGGGGAGTGAAAACGGGGATTGTGGCTACTACAGAATGGTATACAACAACCTTTCCACAATTGGCAGCTATAATTAAAGGGCTGTACGATGCATCCAGGGGCCATTTAATTGCTCTCATTCATTCATTCATTCATTCATTCAGCAACCATCAAACCCTACCATTCCTAAAAAGGAAACCGAGGGGAGGAGGATGCCAGTACTTGCATCTGTTAGAGCTGCACGCAGGCCCAAGCTAGATACAAAAGAACCCCCCAGAATGGGTCTTTCAGTAAAAGAAAGATCTTTGTTTAGGGCATCAGGAACCGCTTGCTCTGGCGCTAGCGCCCCTCAGTCCGGCGTCCAAATTCCATGGTAAACAGCTGTTTGGCGAGGGAGCAGCAGGGGCGCGCCGGGAGGGCGGCCTGGAGGGTGGGCCTGCACCCGCTCTGGCACCGGCTCCTCCTGGCCTCCACCCGACATCCCTGACACCCGACCGAGGGCAATAAGCCAATAAAACCCCAGTGCTTCCGACCTCGCGCCTCCCAGGCGGGCCCAGCCGGCCTCCGCTGTCGCCCCGCTCACCTGCGGCAGCATCGGCGATCTCCCTGCGGCAGCTCTCACTGCGAATCCCGCGGGAGAGCACGGCGGAGGGGCGGGAGCGACGTGCGGCAGGCTAAGCTCTCAGAGGCCACCTCCCTCGACGCACTACCTGCGGGCCTCTCTGACCGGCTCCGGTGGGCAGCGGCCACCGCGGCCGCTCCTCAGCGTCGGGACGGAGGCTGGTGTGAGCCTGGAGGCGCCGGCCCAGCGCTGGGAGGCGCCATGTTTCTGTACGGGCAGTTGGGCAGCGAAGGGACTCGGAAGAGGATGGCTGGGAGCTGAGTGGAATCGTGTTTCAGTGTGGAAAAGCCGGAACGGAGCTTGGAGGGGCGCCGGTGCCGGCCGAGGGAATCTGCCCCGAGGCTCGAAGCCGTTTCGCCGCACTGAGAGGCGCCATGTTTCCGTACGGAAAGCAGAGGCGCGGCCCCGAGTTAAAGGAAGTGGACAGGCGTTTTTAATGCCATCCTCCCCGCCTGTACTTTGACAATGAATATCTATTATTTTTGTAGGCACACCATGTACAAATTTGTGCCCTTGCCCTCGTTTTGACACCCCCCCCACACACACACATAGCCAAGTCTCAGTGGCACAGACTCGATTTGGATTCAGAGTCCTAACTCGAGGGTGTGTGTAAGAGAGCCAGACTTTGCCTGGTCGGGTTGCCGGGAGGGCTGACGCAGGGCGGGTCGTTCCCAAGCGAGTGAGGGCCAGGGCAGTTTGTTTCGTCTATGCTCCAGAAAGGAGGACCATTTCCCCAAGTATCACGTAAGGACAAGCCCACTTGGGGTCTGGGTAGTGCTGACATTATCGTGGCGCTAGAATTTAAGTTGCTACGTCAGAAAACTACGTTGTTTTTCTGTTTTTTAAAATATTTATTTTTATTTTGTGTGTATGAGTGTATTGGCTGCATGTATGTGAGTGCACCCTTGTCGTGCAATGCCGCAGAGGTCAGAAGAGGGCTTCGGATTCCCGTGGAACTGGAGTTAAGGACAGTTCATAGCTGCCATGTGGGTGCTGGGAATCGAACCCAGGTCCTCTGCAAAAGCAGTCAGTGCTCTTAACCGTTGAGCCATCTCTCCAGCCCCAGAAAACTACGTTTTCTCATCTGCAGCAGTAAAATAGCAAACTACACTAACTGAAATACTTTGTTCTCGTGACAGATCTTAAATAAAAGACTTATAACGACTGTTCATTTGAAAAAAAAAAAACCTTTATAATTGGGCATGAATGATGCATACCTGAAAGTCTCCTACCTGTAGCCTATAAAAATTTTTTGATTTAAATAGAGCAAAATATATGGGTGGGATCGGTGCTTTCAAACATTACTAAACCACATGTAATTATTCCCAAAATATTGAAGCTTTGCTGGGCGTGATGATGCACACCTTTAATACCAACACTTGGGAGGCAGACACGGGGGATATTAGTGAGTTCGAGACCACATATGGTCTACATAGTGAGTTCCAGGCCAGCTAGGTCTCTGAATGATGAATGAATGAATGAATCACTCACTCACTCATTCACCCACTCAATCAATCAATCATGAAGGCTGAGTGCAATACAGTATCCTCAAATCATTTACCAGATGGCACACTGTTTTTCCTTTAAAAAATAAAACAGGGAGACTGGAGCAATGGCCCAGTGGTAGAGTGCTTACTGCTCTAACACTGCTCTAAACCCAAGTTTGGTGCCTAGCACCCACATGCACTGTCTCACAGCCACTTATATATAACTCCAGTTCCAGGGATCCTATTTGTTCACTGGGCACCTGCATGTACATGCACAGATACAAGACAGACATAATGACCCCCACACATAAATAAAAAATAAAATAGGACCAGTGAGATGTTCAGCAGATAAAGCCACCAGCCTCCAAGCCTGACAACTTGAGTTCGACTGAGATCACTGGAAACCACATGCTAGAAGGACAGAATAGACTCCCAAAAGTTGTCCTCTGATCTCCACTTTTGGGCCTTGGCACTTGAGTGCACACACACACACACACACACACACACACACACAATATAAATTAATAAAACTACTCTGTGCTGCCAAGGTGGTTCAGCACATAAAGCATTTGGCATGTATGACGACCCCAGTTGATTCCCCCAAATCCACCTAAAGGTGTAGAGAGCAGATTCCACAAAGTTGTCCCCTGACCTCTACTTGTACAGTGGTTAGTGTGCCCACATATATCAAACACTCAAGTAAATAATTCTCAGATGAAGATTCATTTTAGAAGAATAAAATCAAACAAAAACAAGATACTCAACTAACTGAACCTGCTTGGATTCAAACAAAACATTACCATAATGTTCCTAGTTTGGTACAGACATTCTAAAATTATGTTATCTGAAAACTATATAGGTGATGCCAGGCAAAAAGTAGGCAAAGTTTCCCAGGCGATTCTAACATGCAACCAGGGTAGAATACACATAGACCCTAGTGAGAGCTACCTTCCTTCAAAGATCACTATAACCAAGTCTCCCTGGGAGGGGATACTGACAATACTAAAACCATTTTAATTTGGGATGTTTCATCCTTCATCTTTTGATAAATTTTTTTACAAACCATTTCCTTTAACTATTATAAAAAGTGACAAATGCTCCAGTTTGATTTTTGGCTGCAAGGGCTGGAAACTCAAACCAACCTCAAGATAAAGGGAATCAATTACAAGGCCACAGTTTGGGAGGAGAAAGGTAGCAACTGTCTTGGAGGTGAGCTGTTCTGTCCCATCTCAAACATACAGGATCTTTCATAATCTTTCCTTCTGCTGCCTTATTTTAATTGCCTTATTATAAAAGCTGATTTTTGTGTAAGTCTGTCTCATTAGGCTATCAGAAGCTGCCTTTGGATGAGGTGCTCAGCCTTGGTCTACTCTACTGAGGTGGAAGCAAAGCTCACAGTCACCTAAACATTGGATATACACATGGAATGTCCCCTAGAAAGGCATCATAGATGAGAGAGCACAGACCTATAGTAATGACAGTTCTAGTGACCCAGGAAGTTTGCCCAAGGTATTCAAGGTAGCCAGAATGGACCTATGGTCTTGACCTACAGTTTGAAACTAATAATACCTTTGGGAAATATGATCAACTTTCCTTAAAATATCCTACCCTTGGGCAGGCCAGATAGTTCAGTGGGTAAAAGTACTTCCTACAGAGCATAAATGACCTGAGTTTGATCCCTAGAACCCACATGGTAGAAGGAAAGAACTGAAACCAACTCCCATGTGTGCCATGGTATTTAAAATAATTTTTTAAATTCTATTCTATGGGGTGGGAGCGGTAAAGGATATATAAGCCCAGAACACCAAGAGGCACCTCTCTCACAATTTTGTGCATCTATCGGGAGGTCACAGGATCTGTATATGAGTGTAGACTTTATGGCGCACCCATAACGTGGGGCGCCCAACTCTTCTGTAAATAAACCACTACTCTATGCTCTGTTAAAATAAAAATAAATTTTAAAAAATTCTATTCTAGCCAGGCATGGGGGTGCACACCTTTAATCCCAGCACTTGGGAGGCAGAAGCAGGTGGATCTTTGTGAGATCGAGGCTAGGGATACAGGGTGACCCTGTCTCAAGGAGATCAAAAATAAAAAAATTAAATAAAAATCCTATTCTTATTATCTTTGAGGTAAGCTGTGGTATACGGCTAGTTTTTTTTTTTTTTTTTTTTTTTTTTTTTTTTGCTTCAAGACAGGGTCTTTCTGAACAGTCCAGGCTAACCTGCAACTCAGTCTTCCTGCTTCAGCCTCCGAAGTGCTGAGCTTGGACATTAACCACTATGTCTGGCTTTAAACTGTGGTTTTATTACAGTGCTTTCCATGGAATTATCATTGTTAGAATGTTGCTTCTTTAAAAAGCATGAACATATACACAAAATAAAAAATTAAAAAAAAAGCATGAACATAACTAGTACTTAGAAACCGAATGTTCCTGCCTTCCCCCGAAGGTGTTACTTTTAGTTTTGGTTGTCAAATAATCATGCATTAATTACCTGCAAAACAAAGATTGCTAATCAGATAGCATGCTGTTGCTCTGCCAACTATGTGAATCTTACCAACTTCCTCTCACACTTAAGTCTTCAACTATTTTTTCTTTCATCACTTCTAAACAAAGCTGCCTCCCTTTTTCTTAAATGTGCCAGAAATCCTGATTCTTCTTGCTTTATTAGGAGAACTGGAATCACTTATATTATAGTTCTTAACCTTCTTCCATTTGAAGACTAGCCAGTATAACAGAAATAAAAAATCATCACTAGGATGCAAGCAGTTAAGATTTTTTTATTTTTTATTTTAAAATAGTTTATGTGTATGTATTTTGTTTGCATGTATGTCAGTGCACCCATGTTGTACAGTGCCCACAGAGGCCAGAAGAGAGCTACAGATGAAGTTATTAGTTACAGATATGTGGGTGCTGGGAACCGAATTCAGGTCGTCTGCAAGAACAGCCAGTGCTCTTAACTGCTGAGCCATCTCTCCAACCCCTCCTTCCCTCTTTTATAAAAATACTTCCATTACTTATTTTGTGTTCTATGTGTGTGGCATGGGCCATGGTTTGTATGTGGAAAACAGAGGGCAATGTATGCAAGTTGGTTTTTCCTTTCTAATATGTGGGTCACAGAGACTGAACTCAGGTTGTTGAGCATGTTTACCTTTTCCCATTGAGCCATCTCACTAGCCCCCCAGTTTTCTCTACCTCTTACTAAGAGGTAAAGGCTGGGGAAGTAGCTCAGTTAGTAGAGGGCTTGTCTATCAGGACAAGCCCTGGATTTGATCCCCAGCATTTCATAAACTGGATGTGGTTGTACATACCAGTAATCCCAGTACTGGGGGGTAGAGGCAAAAGGAACAGAGAAGTTCAAGTATGCCAGGCATGTGGCATATACTTGGGATCTCTACGAGTCTGAAGCTAGCCTGCTCTACATAGTGAGTTCCAGGCCAAAAAGGGCTACATAGTGAGACCCAGTCTCCAAAACAGCTTGAGGTCATCCTCAAGTACTTCAGGAATTTGAGGCCAGTGTGCATCTCAACTGTAATCCGACCAATCCTGTGTCAAGATGGAAAAGAGAGGCAGGAAAATTGCCTGGAAGTTAAGAGGGCCAGATAGCCAGGAGTGTGCAGAACAGGATGGCAAAAACAAGAGTTGGCCTCAGAAACAAGGCAGAAGGAGAGAACAGCATCTCAAAAAGTTGTCCTCTGACCTCCACATGCACAGCATGGCACCTGCGTGCCTGTACTAACCTCTCTCTCTCTCTCTTCTCATACACTTAAAAAAAAAAATTAGGGCTGGAGAGATAGCTAGTGGTTAAGAGCTGCTCTCTCAGAGGACCCAGGTTTGAGTCCCAGCACCCACATGGCAGCTAACAACCATCCATAACTCCAGTGCCAGGGGGTCCGATGTTGTCTTCTGACCTCCTCGGGCACTGTACAACACGATGTACTTACACATATGCAGACATAACACTCATACACATAAAATAAAAATAATTTTTTTTTGTTGTTAGCCCTAGCTGGCCTGGAACTTACTATGTAGCCTCTGCCTCCCAGTGCTGGGATTAAAGGCATGCACCACAACCACACCTGGCAATAAATAAAATTTCAAAAAAATAGACAAAAATTTAAAAAGACTAAATTAAAATATATAATTCAACATCAAACAAAATGTTAAACATGAAAATATTTATAGTGTAGTGTAGTGTTTCAAATTATATTACATTACTTTGCCTATTTACCATATTTGTCTTATAAATGTAGTTATTCCAAAATAATCATTAAGTTGGTTAAAACATTGTTTAAAACTTTCACTCTAATTAGCAGGTTTTTTTGTTTTTGTTTTTGTTTTTTTGAGACAGGGTCTCCCTGTAGCCCAAGCTGGACAGACTGTTCTTGAACTCAGAGTGCTGGGATTAAAGGCATGTGCCACCAGACTTGGTTCTAATTAGTAATTTATAAGAAATATAAGACACAAAGAAAGATGATGAAGGATTAATGTGCTTCCTTAGTTTCTCAATTAATTGCAATTTATGAACATTGTTTGCATTCTTGTTTGAATGAACTGTAAAAATCACCTGAAATCATCAGAAAATTTGAGCATAAACTTCATACTGATATTTGTTATTAAGGAATTAGAGGTTTGTTCTAATGATTTTAGTTATGGGTTTGTTATTTCTTTTTTTAAGAGAGAGAGTCTCAGTAAGTAGCCCTGGTTACTCTGGAACTTGCTATGTAGACCAGGCTGTTCTTAAACTGGCAGAGATCCACCTGTGCTGGGATTAAAAGTGTGCACCACCACGCCCAGCCTGGTTATGTTTTTAATGTCCTTTGGCCAGATAATACTGCCTGAAATTTGTTGGTGTGGGAGCAAAGAATGGGTAGGGATACAGGCTAAACAAGACTGGCCAGTAACAGGCAACTGCTAATACAGGTTGATGCACATGTGAGAGTTCTTTATACTATTCTCCCTACTTTTATATATGTTTGACAGTTCCCACAATAGTCAGGCATGGTGGCACATGCCTGTAGTCCCAGCACTTGGAAGGCAGAAGCAGGCAGATGGATCTCTGTGAAATCAAGGCCAGCCTGGTCTACATAGTGAGTTCCAGGCCAGCTAGGGCTGCAGGGAGACCCGTCACAAAAAAAAAAAAAAAAAAGGAAGAAAAGAAAGAGAAAAAAGTCCCCACGATGTTTAAGTTTTCAAAGCATGAAGACAGTCTATTTTTTTTCCTGTCTACAATTAATTTATGATAATTAGCAAATGCATTGTTTAAGAGCCTAAGTTCCTGTTTTACATTTTTAAGGCATACCTTTTAAAACAGAAACCATACTCCTACTAATATGTAACTACAGACTTCCTGTTAAGTGCTTTCTTATATAAATTCACTACATGTCATATTATTTAAAACCTCATGATTTTTTTATATAAATTAAGTACAATGATTATAAATAAACTCAAGAGACCAGTCCTTAATAGAAACACATTATTCAATTAATCATTTCTGACACATATGGCTATAAAAAAACATTTTTTATTAAGTACTATTTTACATTTAGAATTTTCAAGTTTACAAATATCTTTAGGATACATAATTTGTCCTTAAATTATACAAAGTATACGTACAGACATTAGAAACTCAGTCTCCAAAATACTCAAGAAAGATGTCAGGATGACACTTATAGAACTGATCTAGCAATTTCTTCTTCTCTTTGACAGACAGCTTTGAATCCTCATCGATGGTCTTTAGTAAGGTCAACAGTTCATCCTTGGTTGTCTTCTGGGTACTGCTGGAATAGTCGCTTTGATCAATTCTCTGGCAATAAATATAGCCTTAAGCGTTAAAAGCAAAAGGTTAAGTTAATGATCCAATTTCTCAGATTTAACTAGAAAAACCAAGCAGAATTTTCTTATTTTGTTCTTTGCCATTCTATAAAACACATTGAAGAGGAAGGATAAGGATAACCCGGATCAAGCTGTTTGACATAGGAGGCACTCTGCTAAGTCTAGAAAATTCTGAGGGAATGTTTCAAATTTAGTTGAAATTAACTATTTACTTTAAAACACTTGCAAGTCAGCATTAGGAATCTGTCTTTAGAATCATGAAAATATTAAACCTGGGAGTGGTGGCAAGTACCTGTAATCCTAGCACTTGGGAGGTGGAGGTAGGAGCATCAGGGTTTTGAGGTCATCTTTGGCTACATAACCAAGGCCAGTTTGGGCTACAATGAGACCTTGCCTTATAAAAAGGACCATGAAGCTGGGCATGGTGGCACACTGGCACACGCCTTTAATCCTAGCGCTTGGGAGGCAGAGGCAGGTGGCTCTTTGTGAGTCAGCCTGGTCTACATAGTGAGTTCCAGGACAGCTGTGGCTACAGGGAGACCCTATCTCAAAAAGACAAAAAAGGATCATGAAAATAATATTCATTCTCACTGGGCATGGTGGCACATGCCTTTAATCCCAGCACTCGGGAGGCAGAGGCAGGCTGATCTCTATGAGTTAAAGGCCAGCCTGGTCTACATAGTGAGTTCTAGGACAGCTGGGGCTACAGGAAGACCTTGTCTCAAAAAGACCAAAAAAAAAAAAAAAAAAAAAAAAAAAAAAAGAAAAAGAAAATAATATTCATTCTCAAATTACCTGCATCTTTATTTGGATCTCTTCCCTTCTGTATGGCCATAAGTTTAATACTAACAATTTTATGTAGCGTTCCAGGAATCTTAGGAAGAAGGGACATAAGACATTATTCAAATGCATTTTAATTCATACACAGGTGATCTGCTATAAATAAGCTCAATTAATTACTATCAGAGTTTACCTTGAAAACATCTTTTTGGTGATCCATTAAGAAGAGTACCAGGAGATCAGTTTTGCCTTTGGATAAATTTTTATTGTTGACAATAGCTTTTGAGAATACCCTTCTCACAACCATCCGATTGTCACTCTATAAAAATAAAACAGAATACACCCCACACTACATATTTAAAAGGCTACATTTGCCACTAAGGAAATATAAAGTGTGAATAGCCACCATCCATTTCCGCATACTTGAGGCTGACTCTATGAGTCTTGCAAGTATTAACGACACTGAATAGAGTTAACATTGAACAAGAGACTTACTTCTTTCTGTAATTTAAATTCAGAAGGATGTGCTGCAACAGCCATAAAATAAAGTAGTCTTCTAAATTCTTCTTTATTTTGGGAATTCAGAAGCTTCAGAAATAGCTGAGTAGCTTCTAATGCTATTTCAGTCTTCCCATTTACTTTAGCCAAAAGAAAAAAAAAGGCTTTTAATTGACCAAGTATGACTATATTAAAATGAACAAAACTCAAGTTAGTTGATGCCAAGTAGTATACTTTTTCAAAATTATTTCCAAACCAAAACAAAAGAAGATTAGGAACTAAAATGAATGGCTGGGGCCAACAAGATGGCTCAGTAGGTAAAGGCACTTGCTGCTGGGGCTGACAAATTCAGTTACATAGTGGAAGCAAAGAACCCACTCCAGCAAGTTGTTCTCGGACTTCCATATGTACACCATGGCATGAGTTTACACATATAAATGTAACTTAAATAAATAAAAATAAAAGGAATGACCAACACCTGGTCTCAAACAGGCATTTAAGACTGTAAGTCCATAAGCTCTTATCAGAGATGATCTTACAGGATTAACCCCAACTCTTGGATTTGTAAATTCCCATCTTGTTTCTCATTAACTGAATACTCTTTGAGAATACTATATATATATGATGCTGATGTATCTAACTCTACTTGAGGAAAATAGAGAAGATTCTCTGAAACCACCAATTTGTTTTTAAAACCATGTGGAGGGCCTAGAGAGATGGCTCTGTGGTTAAGAGGACTGGCTGCTCTTGCAGAGGACCCAGACTCGATTCCCAGCTCCCATATGGCAGTTAATAACTGTAGCTCCAGTTCTAGGGGAATCCAATGCCCTCTTCTGACCTCCACAGGCATTGCATAACATGGGTGCACTTACATACATGTAGGCAATACAGTCATACACATTAGAACAATAAAATGTGGAAGAGTCTGGTTCACTGGTAGAGCAGACAGAACAAGCAGTGTGTGTCTCTCTGAAGAGACCTCAGGGGAGTGGTGGAAGTGCTGGTAATTCTTCCACAGAGAAGTGCTGCTCTGTGTTAAGCTTCTAGTGAATGGCAGTAGCATTCTCCTGAGATAGCCACAAGTTTCTGCACAACTTTAGAGTATGGTAAAGCCTCAATGTGAACCCTAAAAGTTCTAAAATAAACATACTTTCCATAGATCAATCCAGACCCACTCCCAGCTCTGCATACTATTTTAGTTCATTATGAGGACAATTGACGTTTTTCCTGTTTTCTCCCAAAGATAAATCTTCTATCCAGTAAGGTACCACTTACCTAGGAGTTCTGCAATTCCATTATGAACATCACATAAGTGATTTAATAGAGGTTCCCTTGTACTATAATATTTGCCAATAGCATCAAACAGAAGTTCCTTCACTAAGTCTGTTCTATCTGGCTGCTCAGGAAAATTTCTGCTTATGTCCACCACCATCTGGTCAGGAAGATATTCCAAGCAGTCAATCGCGGCAGAGAGCCATTCATCTTCCCTAGGATAGGGAGAGGAGAGTTATTTTAAAAATCAAAGAATAATAAAACAACACATAGTATCTAATGCTAGCTATTTCATGCTTACTATCAGGATAAATTTCTACATATTTAAATTCAAGTTGCTCAGGCTTCAGGGAGACTAGATCTCAGAATTTTTTTTTTTTTTTTTTTTTTTTGAGTTAGGGTAAACGTAGACTAGGCTGGCCTGGAACTCCCAATCTTCAATACTCCTTAGTGCTAAGACTACAGATGGTGATACCACATCCTTCTTCAGACCTGACTCCTAAAGCTGTAATTCTACTATTGAGCATTGCTAACTTCAGACCTAGGTGTATCACCTCCCTCACTTTTTGGCTAGGACAGACTAGAATAAAATAAAGTTTCAAGGCAGAGACAGAAGGATCTCTATATATTTGAGGCCAGCCTAGTGTACATAGTTTGTTCCAAGCTAGCCAGGGCTACATAGGGAGACCCCTGCCTCAGATAGATAGATTGATAATGTATCTAGTGAACTGCAAAATAGGTCATTTGAGGAAAATCGTTGTGTTTTATTGTCTTGAGACAGGGTCTCTTATAGCCCAGGCTGGCTTTGAATTATGGAGTTGAAGATGACCTTGAACTTCTGATCTTCCTGAATGCTAGGACTACAGGCATTCACTACCATATTATGCAGGTCTTGCAAGGAATATATATTCTTTTTTTTTGAGACAGGGTCTCCCTGTAGCCCCAGCTGTCCTGGAGCTCATTATGTAGACCAGGCTGGCCTTGAGACAGGGTCTCTTATAGCCCAGGCTGGCTTTGAATTATGTAGTTGAAGATGACCTTGAACTTCTAATCTTCCTGAGTGCTAGGGTGCTGGAAATGTAGGGAAGAGCCACCATACCCAACTTTTCAAAAGCTACTTGAACTTAAAATGATGGTGGGTTTTAAGGTTTGTTATGGAGCAAATTTTATGTCCCCTACCCCCCAAGTGTATTTTTTTTAAAAAAGTGTATTTTGGCTTATGGTTCCAGAGGGATGGAGTTCATCATGGTGGGCAAGGCATGGCAGTTGTCAGGGAAGTCTTGGCAGCAGGAGCAGGTGGATCATGTTTATAATCTTTTAAAATATTTTATTTTTATTTTATGTGTATGAGTGTATTGCCGGCATGTATGTGAGTGCACCCATGTTGTGCAATGCTTTTATGTGTATGATTGTTTTGCCTGCATGTAAGTGCACTCATGAGGCCCTCAGGGGCCAGAAGAGGATGTTGGGTCCCTGGAACTGGAGCTGCAGATGGTTGTTAGCCACACAAGTGGATGCTGGGATTTGAACCCATGTCCTCTGCAAGAGCAGCCAGTGCTCTTAACTGCTGAGCTATCTCTCTAGTCCAAGTCTTCAAATCTTAAGATTTATATTCAGAATGATAGTTGAAGGCTGTAGTGCTTTAGTAAAACTAATCAGAAAATAACTTATTTAACAGTTATTTGCAAGGAATATAGGAGTATACACAGTCAAAAGATTCCAAGAATTTGTCAAATCTGTTTATTTTATTTCAGGTCTGTAAAGAATCTTAAAAGATCAATCAGCCTTTCATATTTTATTTTAATTAATTCATTAATTTTGTTTTTTTGAGACAGGGTAGCCCCAGCTGGCCTGGTCTCACAGAGATATGCCTGCCTCTGCCTGCTTGAATTAAAGGTGTGTGCCACCACACCCGGCTTTCTTTTTGAGACTGGGCTCAAACTTGCTATACGCCTTTGGGTAACCTTGAACTTCTGATCCTGCTTCCACCTCCTGAGTGCTGAGATTACAGGTGTGTGCTAATACACCTGGTTTTAAATCAATACAGAGGACCAAATCCAGAGCTTTGTGAACACTGAGCAAGCACTCTACCAACTGAGTTAAACCTCCAGCCCAAACCCTACTTTTTTGTTGTTTTTTTTTGAGACAGGGCCTCCCTTTAGCCTGAGCTGGCCTGGAGCTAAGTAGACCAGGCTGGCCTCGCTCTCACAGAGATCCTCCCGCCTCTTCTGGTACTACAGGAGTGTGCCACCACATCGGGTTCAACTAGTGTAATTTTTCTGTTCACTTCCTCAAATATTAATAATATCAACCTTAAAAATAGGATCCCAAGCCAGGCGTGGTGGCACACGCCTTTAATCCCAGCACTTGGGAGGCAGAGGCAGGCAGATCTCTGTGAGTTCAAGGCCAGCCTGTTCTACATAGTGAGTTCCAGGACAGCTGGGGCTACAGGGAGACCTGGCTCAAAAAGACCAAAAAAAAAAAAAAAAAAAAAAAAAAAAAAAAATCCAAAGCTTATCATCATCTGTAATCTACCTATAACATATTGAGATTATTATAGAAATTTGCACATACTGAGAGTCACCATAAGCCTTGAGAATTCCTCGATCCAGATAGTTACTGGTGTTGACCATGTCAGGCTGCCTCTTAGGTTGAGGAAGTTTAGGTAAAACCTCTTGCTGTTTGAGTAAGGAGTCAAGAAATGGAAGATCTACAAGTTGTAGTAGACGTGCAATTGTCTCTTCTTGCCATACTTCATTAATAACTATACAGCAAAAATGATAAAGGAAAAAGCAGCAATTAATCATTACTATATGCTCACTGTACTATTTGTCTAGGCAGGTCTAATTTATTAAATTTTTAGGGGAAAAAAAAGAAAAGCCAAATTTTTTAATGAAGTGCTTTCTTAAAACAAAGTAAAACAATCCAATATTTGTTTAAAGTGTAGGAGAATAGGCTTTGAACAACAGGAATTCTTTTCATTCTTTGTGTTATATAAAGCAATCTGTCAGGGATAAGAGATCAAGTCATATAACATGTTAATAAGGACTTTGGAAGAAAGAATGGTTCATTCAATCTCAAAACTCATTTGAAACTATTGACTGCAGAGATTTCCTCTCAGGCTTTCCACAGCCAACACAGGGGAAGGAGAGTGGAGACCAACAGAGGGCTGCATTCCACTGCCACAAGGAAGAACATGAGAATGCTGTTAATGTTTTAATGTGATTTTCAAATTTTCATTTAACCTAATAAAATCTTAGGGAAAGAAACATCTGAGAACATATTTTAAGTTAAGAATCTGCATGCAAAACATTTTAGATTTGAACCTCTGCCAGCTGATAGGACAAAAGTCAGTGTTCAAGTGTTGTAACACTGATGTATTTGTTAAAGATAATAGACTTCTGTTAAAATGTAACATAAATAGCTTTAATACACAGTGCAGTCTTTCTCTGAACTTTGAATATTTAAATACTAATAAAGGTTAAGACAGAAAGTGGTAAACAGCTTTATTTAAAGCTAGTCTACTTCTTACTTAGCATCATCTTTAGCTTACCTTGTGGAGGCAAGGTGACAGAGATATTTACACGAGGGGAGTTGGCAGGCTTTAAACTCAGATTTTCCCATAGATCCTCCAGACTGTCCGACTTGATATCAGATGACTTAAATAATGCATCTGAGTACCTACAATGAATTTAGTATACCCATAGAAATGATTTAGTATTAGAGAGCTGCAAGTTTCTAGATTTTTAAATTTTTTAATTTTATTTTATATGTATGCCTGTATTGCCTTCGTGTAGGTAAGTGCACCCATGTCGTGCGATGCCTGTGGAGAGAAGAGGCTGTCGGATCCCCTGGAACTGGAGTTACGGACAGTTGTTAGGTGCCATGTAGGTGCTGGGATTCGAACCCAGGTCTTCTGCAAGAACAACCAGTGTTCTTAACAGCTGAACTATCTCTCCAGCACCTTGATTTTTATTTATTTTTTAAATCTTTTTTGACACAGGGTCTCCCTGTAGCCCCACCTGTCCTGGAACTCACTATGTAGACCAGGCTGGCCTTGAATTCAGAGATCCACCTGCCTCTGCCTCCCAAGTGCTGGGACTACAGGTGTGGGCCACCACACCCAGCTGAGAGAGACATTATGTTTTAAAACAACACAAATGTTCAATCAGTGATGAAAAGAAAAATAGTTGCTGAGTGGAATAAAATAATTTTTTCAAAAAAGCCTCTTAATCAATTCTAAAATATATATACTCCTTTTGTTTGCTTGTTTTTTTATGAGACAGGGTAGGCTCAAACTCACTATGTAGCCAAGACTGGCCTTGAACTTTTTAGCTTCCTGCCTCCATACTCCAAATCTTGTGCTTAAAGGTCTATGCCACCACACCTAGCTCTAAAAGATATATATTCTAAAGAAATTCTTTTGTGAATCTTTATTTAGATATCACTCAATGATGGAAATTTTAAATCATAGCAAAACAACTGAGAATGCATGGTCGTGAACCCAATAAGGCCAGCCTTCAGGAGGCAGAGGCAAGAGACCTGCTAGTTCATGTGAGCCTGGTTTGCTGTCTATAGCAAGTTCTAGGTCAGCTTGCAGAGGACATGAGTTTTGGTTCCCAGCACCCACATGGTGGCTAACAACCATCTGCAACTCCAGAGATCTGACACCCTCTTCTGACCTCTGTGGACACTGCAGACATGGGTGTACTTACAGACATGCAGGCAATACACTCATACACATAAAAATTCACAAATTCTTTTTTTGTTGTTTTGAGACAGGGTCTCCCTAGTATTTACCATGTCATATGAAGCCCTGGACACTGTGGCTCCCACATGCCTTTCACACTTTACCATCTGCCACTCTCAGATTCTAGAGACAACGTAGGATCTGGGAGTCTCCCCAGCTGCCTTCACCTTCTCTCTGTTCTCATACCACTTTTTGGATAAATTCTCGAACATATTTTATATACTGTAACTATAACTTAAGGCAGAAAATTTAAAAAGTTTGTTGACTTTCTACAAAACATAAGGATGAACAAATAAAGTCTAAAGAATACTTGGTAAAGTTAACAAAATGTCACTATATTATATCAAGTTAACCAGGATTCAGATTTTAGCCAAAATGATCACTTATAAAAGCAATACACATGCACACACACATATTATAAAGCCAGTTAGTGTCTTATTTTAAAAGTAGAAGAGGCTGGGTGTGGTGGCACACTCCTTTAATCCCAGCACTTGGGAGGCAAAAGCAGGTGAATTTCTGTGAGTTCTAGGCCAGCCTGGTCTACCCAGTGAGTTCCAGGCCAGCTGGAGCTACATGGAAACCCTGTCTCAAAAAGAAGAAAATCCTGTTCCTATCTGCATGCTACATACTCACCCAGAAGGTGAATGTATTTTGTTTTCTTTGCCAAGTTGACTGTCTTGGTTAGGTATTGTTGTGAATCTGTAAAGGCTACAACTACTATCTTCAAATGTAGGCTTTTTGTCTTTTCCAAACACTTTGGTTGGAACTGCCTCAAATACTTTATAGTCCATAAGTGCCTGACACACTCTCACTACTTTGGCCCGTGGAATATCAACATCACCAAAGTACTTATTCTGAATTAAGTGAGAGTAAATGACATCAACGGCTTCAGAGCCGACAAAGCAATCGTTGTGCCGTTTCAGGTGATGCCTCCGCTTCTTCACTTCCACTTGAGTCTGAAGGGTGTTTATAATGCTGCTCCATACATACGTGGCTCCAAATGGCTTCTGGGCCACACTGAAACCTAAAAGAAGAAGGGAAAAAAGGAGAATTAGTACTTTGTTCACTTGTAACAAAGTCTAAGCAATCCTTCAGAAGAAAGCAGCCATTTCCAAGGCCATTAATGAAGAGAAATTATGAATGCAGATTACTGAAATATTCCTATTAAAAGCAATTTGTTTAAGAATTTAGTGCCTGGTCTATACTGCATGTTGTTCTATTTGCTAGAAACAACAGTGAACAAAATAAAGTCTGTTCTCATGGATCTATAGACTTTGTGGGCAGAGACAAACAATACATAAGTGTTCAATCAGTGCTGAAAAGAAAAATAGCTGCTGGGTGTGGTGGCTCACACCTGTATTCCAAGTACTGAGGCAGGAGGATCAAAAATTTGGAACCAACCTGGGATACACAGTGAGACTCTAAGAAGAACAGAGAGACAGAGAGAGAGGAAAGCAGCAGCAGCAGAGTAAGAGAATGCTACTTTATAAATTTATTTATTTAAGGGGGGCATGCGTGGAGGTCAAAACACAACCCATAGGAGTCGGTTTTCTCCTTCCACCATGTAGACCCAGGGATGGAATTCAGTAAATAAGACTTGGAAGTAATGCCTTTACCTACTGAGGCATATGATAGGCCTGAGAATGCTATTTTAAATGGGCTATCAAGAAAGACTTTTGTGGTTGAGGGTTTAGCTCAATGGTAGAATGCTTGCCTAGCAAGTACAGGGCTCTGGGTTCGGTCCCCAGCTCAGGAGGTTGGAGGGGTGGGTAGAGACAAAACCTAAAAAAAAAAAAAAATTACCCAAGGAAACTAGGAAAGACTTTACTGATAAAGTTACAACTGAGTAGGAACTGAAGTAAAACCAGGAAGCAAGTTGTACAGACATCTGGGGAAAGAACAGAGAACAGAAAAAGCAAAGGCCCTGAGGAGGGCATGCACTCTGCCAGACAGGAAGGAGACCAGCAAGGCCAGAGTGGCACAGGGAGGGAGCAGCAGCAGGAAGTGAGATCAGGGGGGAGCAGATCAGCAGTCATATGCAACCAACTCTATTAAGTGCCTCACATCAGTTAACAGATCTTCAACAAAACCCTGAGGCAGATAGCCTCTCTATTTGAAATGGAAAATGGAGTCACAGAGGTTATATGCCACCTCCAAGCATTCAGAAGTTGTTCTGAATTGACTCATGATCTATATAACTTTGAAGCTTTTGCCAGGCCCGCCCTGCCACACACAGAAGTTGCAAGAACAAACTCTTATTTTAAAAGCTTCCTGTTTTGCAGGCTTATATAACTTGGTCACCAGACCTGATGACCTGAGTTCGATCCTGGGACCCATATAGTAGAAAGAGAAAACCAGCTCCTCACAAATTATCCTCTGACCTTCACATGTATGCGGTGGCATGCATAAGTACCCGTATGCGCATACACACCCCAAAATTTTCAAAAACTCTCCTATAATATTTTCCTTCATAATTTGGTAAAAACACAAGGAAGAAAAGTTAAGCAAAAGGACCTTAGGTTTTAGTAAGCCAACAGAAAGAACCCTAGCTACCTAGCTAATCATATGTTCAGCAGTCCCTCATCTGTTGCTTCCTCCCTTCCCACAACCCCTTCTTTACAAAATGTGCGCTCTTTTATGCGATACTCTTTTCAAGATCCTCTGAAAACTCAGTAGTCCTAATTTAAGCCCCCATTTTCGTTAAAGATATTACTTCATTTATCTTCAGGATTCTCTTGGCAGACAAATAGAAAAGTTATCACTTTCAGGTAATCTGAAAGGAAAACAATATGCATCTGTGTGACAGTAGTGACTAAGGAGACAAAGAAAACGCTACCTGGAAAACAAAGAGTCTTCTACATTAAAACAAAGATTTATTTATTTGTGTGTATGTGTGTCTGTAAGCACATGTGCATGTGTGTGTTCGAGCTCACAAGAAGAGGCATGCAGGGGACACCCACATGATCTGTGGGTGCTGGGATCCAAGCTCCATTCTCATGATTGTGCAGCAAGCGCTCCTAGCCACTGAGCCATCTCCAGGCCCTCTTCTTACTTTTTTTTATCTTTTCGAAGCAGGGTCTCCCTGTAGCCCCAGCTGTCCTGGAACTCACTATGTAGACCAGGCTGGCCTTGAACTCACAGAGATCTGCCTGCCTCTGCCTCCCAAGTGCTGGGACTACAGGCGTGTGCTACCACACCTGGCTTTTTACATTTTTAACAATATAGAACATATATGAAAACACATGATAAGTTCCTAAGGAATATTAAAGTTCACTTTTTTTTTTTTTTTTTAACTTTTTGAGACTGGGTCTACTTGTAGCCCCAGCTGCCCTAGATTTGATATGTAGACCAGGCTGGCCTTGAACTCACAGAAATCTGCCTGCCTCTGCCATGGGAGTGCTGGGACTTAAAGGCTGAGTCTGGCACTAAAACTCACTTTTAACAACCATTTTTTAAAAACATTTATTTTGTGTGTGTGTGTGTGTTGCCTATATGCTAGCCATAGCACAAGTACAGAGGGCAGAGGATAATGTGTGGGAATTGGTTCTCTCTTTCCACTATTTGTATTCCAGGGACTGAACTCAAGTCATCAGGCTTGGGGGCAAATGTCTTTACTATCTGAGCCATCTCATCTTAATACACTGAAGACATACTTTTTTTCCCTTTCTTTCTCCTTCCCCACTGGGCATTGAGCTGAGGGCCTTAGTTAGTGCATGCTCAGCACGTGCTTTACCACTAAGCTATACCCTAAAGTCATGAATTTTAAGTGAGTCATTTGGAATTCACCTTGTACTGAGGCATAAGGAGTATACTGATATACTCTATATTACTTTATAGTGTACTTTTGAAACTTCTAGCAATTGTAACATTTTTACTGTGAAAATACACGTACGATGTCCTCTGCTGTTTATCCATAGATTTTTAACACTAAAAGGTAGATGAGTAATTTATTATCTACCTATTATGTTACTTGAAAATGATCAGTGAGATTGTTTTCAAATTTTAAAAAATATTTTATTATTTTTATTTTATGTATATGCGTGCATTGCTGCCTGCATGCACCCGTGTCATGCAATGCCCACGGAAGACAGGAGGTTGTCAGATCCCCTGGAATTGGAGTTACGGAGAGCTGTTAGCTGCCATGCAGGTGCTGGGATTCGAACTGGGTCTTCTGCAAGAATAGTCAGTGTTTTTAACCACTGAGCCATTTCTCCAGCCCCTTTTTAAACTTTGAGACAGGGTCTCCCTGTAGCCCCAGCTGGCCTGGAACTCACTATGTAGACCAGGCTAGCCTTGAACTCACAGAGATTCGCATGCTTCTGCCTCCTGAGTGCTGGGACTAAAAGTGTGGGCCACCATGCCCAGCTGTTTTCAATTTTTAAAAATCTATTTAGCTGGGCATGGTGGCACAGGTCCTTAATCCCAGCACTTGGGAGGCAGAGGCTGGCAGATGTCTGTGAGGTCAAGGCAAGCCTGGTCTATACAGTGAGTTCCAGGTCATCTGGGGCTACAGGGAGACCCTGTTTTAAACAAAACAAAAATCTATTCCAAAGGTGGAACCTTTAATCTCAGCACTTGGGAGGCAGAGTCAGAGGCAGGTAGATCTTTGGAGTTCTAGGCCAGCCAGGGCTACATAGTGAGACCCTGTCTCGGAATTCAAAACAATAAATAAATTTCCCATCTTGAAATAGAAGGTAATTTCTCGGGGCTGGAAAGATAGTTCAGCAGTTAAGAGCACTGACTGCTCTTGCAGAGGACCTGGGTTCAATTCCCAGCACCCACATGGCGGCTACGAATCTTCCTTAACTCCAGTTCCAGGGGAATCCAAAGCTCGCTTCTGAACTCCTCAGCATTGCACGACACGGGTGCACTCACACACATGCAGGCAATACACTCATACACATAAAATAAAAATAAAACAATAGAAGGTAATTTCTAAGGCAGTACCAAACAAAAGAAGTAACTGCTACCAGTCTTACAAGTTATGCAGTTTCAAGAGTCAATAGGCTGGAGAAATGCTCAGCAGCTAAGAGCACTTGACTTCTTCTAGAGTTTGGTTCCCACCCACATCAGGTGGCTCAAACCTCCTATAATTTCAGCTCCAGGGAATCCGACTCCATCTTCTGGACTCCGCCACAGGCACCCACATGCATGCACCCACACACAGATACACAAAAACAGTATAGGTCATTTTTGGTGTCTAGAGCTCAGGATTAGCTGTGCTGTCCCCCAGTCACAATGATCAAAAAGTGTTAGCAGCCAATATTAATTTTTGGTGTTTTTTATCTTTTTTGAGACAGGGTCTCCCTGTAGCCCTCGAAGTCACTATGTAGACTAGACTAGTCTTGAACTCACAGAAATTCACCTGTCTCAGTCTCCTGAGTGCTGGGACTAAAGGTGTGCGCCACCACACCTGACTTTTTTTTTTTTTAAAGACAGGGTCTCCCGTTATCCTAAATTGGCCTAGAACTTGCTATGTAAATCAGACTGGACTTAATCTCATAGAAATCTGCCTGCCTCTGCCTCCAGAGGGCCAGAATTAAAGGTGTATACCACCATGTCTGACCTCAAATATTTTTGTTTGTATTTGAGTCAGTCTCAGATAGCCTAGGCTGACCTAGAGCTCCCTGTGTAGCAAACTAGCCTTGAACTCTTGATCCTCCTGTCTCCACCTCTCAAGTGCAGAGATTACAGCACGTGCCCCAGCACAGTAGACTTCTACTTACAATAAAACCTAACATCTGAGTACACATAATATGATAGACTGTGTCTCTCAATTAACTCACAGAAATTTTTCTGTGAAAGTTAATAGTAATAATCCTATTTTATGCAAACTGAGGCTCAGTAAGTTAAACTTGCCCTCAGTTACATAGCTAGTAAATAATTATCTTTGCCTACTACTTAAATATTATATAAGTTAGTCACCAGCGGCTCAGTTGGCTTGCCTAGCAGATCCTGGGTTCAATACACAGCACTAAGGTAGTGCAGGCCTGTATTGTACAGCAATTTCCTTCAAGCTAAGAC